TGTGCTGGGCCAATTGATACTTAGTTTCACAGCCAATAATATTACAAAAATATGTCATTGGAAAAGAATAGAGGTATTCAACTAGTTGCATTTGACCAAGAATGGCTTGATGATATCTTTGGAGCTGCTGTGGGGGTGGGATTTGGCTTGGTTGTCATACTTCAAATAATTGGAACTCTGGTTGAACTTGCAGCTGTAAGCGATTTCATCTTGAAGACAATGTGAATGCTTTTTATTTTTGGACGGGAGTATTGTTAGGTGACCCCAATTTGCAGTTAGTTACAATAGGTTAGTTACCCATTAGTTAATTTTAAGATTGAGTTAGTTACATGGTCTGAATAAGGCGTGTTACCTATATATGATGGGAAGTTAGACATAGATCATCTTGTCATATATGAGAGGAAATTAGGGCCTTTGTCACTGGGAGGTGCTGACGCAAGTTCAATAGTTTGTCTTTTATTCTATTAATTGGGGAGTGGGGAGTTCTTCCTTACTCTTTCCATAAAAGATACCAGGACTCAAGACCAAGATCATTCACTAAATAAAAAGGTTGACTATGCAAGAAATGGCTGAATATACTTTTTTGGAGTTCAATGCTTGAAATTTTTTTGGTAATCAGATGGAAGAAAGATAGAGAATTGCTCTTAACCTGATAATCTTAACACACTTGCAATAAACTATTAAGTGGTTAATAAAAATTATTCCTTTGGTTTCTGAAACTTATTGAAAGATTAATTGTCAAGAATGGTATATCAAAATTGTGAATGAGGGATGCTTATACTGTCTTTAATTTTAAATGTGCATCATCATTGTAGACATAAAGTATTTTGGCCACTATCAGGTCTGAATTGGAAGCCATCATCCTTGATAATTTCAATTGAGTTGTCAAGATTTGAGAGGTAACAAACTAGCTTTCCCGCGTTTTCCATTATTTCTTTAAACTTCAAACTAACTTGATATAAATTTCCATTCAAGATTATCCTGTACTGAGTTCTGGTTCAAGCAATCATTTTATATATCAACTAAATTGTTTTCTAAGCTTCCAAGTGATCAGTTGTAATGCTTATCTTGATAACTTGACCATTTCCTTCATATGTATCTAGACTTTTATTGTCATTGTGGAAAACAGTTGGCACAGGTGGAAGGAGAATAATATAATTTTGTAAATATTCTTGAGTATCACATACTTGGCTGTACTGCTATATACTTTACTAGTAATAAATTTACTATTATCATCCTCTATAATGGTACGCGGGTGATATAAGAAGTGTCATTTATTAGGATTGCCATTGGTGTATATTAGAAAACATAAGTTAAGATTGAATTACCTGTGTGACAATGATTTTGCTTCAATGGTTTACAAATGGATAGGATATCCCTAATGCTATGGCTGACAGCCGGAGGATGTTGAGTGTTGCCTGTAGTGTTGTATCTTTCGATATAGTTTATTAAACTTAAATGTTTTACGCAGCCGTATCAGTGTAACCCTCTCCAGAGTATCGACTTATAAGTCAACCTTAGTGCAGTGGACTTGTTTGAGGTAATCTAATATAACAACTACAACAGGAGGTGATATATTTTAAAAGGAGTAATATATTATTGTCATTATATCATCAGTATGCTACAGTGAACAATTTAACTATATGTGATCGAATGGAAATATTGGAAGTTAAGTATCTGTGTTTGTGCATATGATATGATATGTATGTTTATGTGGTTTATTCTAGAAGAGAGGTGGTTTTTGGACCTTTTTTAATCTGCCCGACAGTCCTTTAGGTTTGGATTATAAGTTCATAGACTTGGCCTGTATTAAATAGCTGACTATCACTGCTTTAATGATTGTCTGCTATTCCTTCCTATCTTCATATGCTTTCATGATTTTGCATCCATTGCCTGCAGGTCTGTGAAGAAAATTTTATTAGATTATCCCTCTAATGGCTGTTTGATAGGTATGTAAATTTTGATTACACAGGAATCCAGAAGATATGTTAATTATATTGCCATAATATTTTAACCATGTTTCACCTTCCTTACCTGAAGCAAGGCGCTGTGTAAAGTTGTAAAATCTAACTGGGAAATTTTAAGACATTGTTATTTTCTTTTTCTTTCCCTGGCCATTTTTCATTCTTGTCTTTACAATTGGCTGTAAACCTATGTAAATACTAGGAAGAAGGTTGTTAAAGTTTTGTTGTAGCTCTTTTGATCTTTAGTTGACTTAGAATATGGTCATTTAATGCGATATTTAGCATACTAAGTTAAAATGTTTGGTTTATTTATTTCATGGGTACCTGATATGGTTTATTATGTTTTAAACATTTACAGAATTCGAACTTTACTCTATTCCAAAAAATTCAGACACAACTTCCTTTTTATTTAGTAAAACATATTTGGGCCTTTGTTGAAATTTTTGAACTCTATAAAGGAACATCCTAACAATTTAAACAAAATACATTGAAACCAGGTATTTAAGCTCATGCCATGTAATTGTGTTGTGAGGTTACTTTTACCAAACTGCAGTTTGACAGTGCGTGTTTATATAAAATTACTTTTCAATGAGAAAAGGTTTCAGTCAATTTTTTAGTCATTTAATTATCATCTTAGAAAAACTATATGATGATTATGTTGTTCAAGAATTATCAACACTTTTTTTATATATCAAATTTGGATGATGTAGCAATCACAAGAGATAAAAAAATTAAATAAAGTACGCAGGATATAGGGTGTAGCTATAACACAAAATAAGTCTTAGACCAAACATTGAATTTCACTGAAAAATGGTTCAAAAGATTGGTATTTGAAGTACTAAATATCATAGGTGAAGGGTATCAATGTTGCATTTACATATGAGGTGGTAAGAATTTTTTGAATTTTATTGCTATGATTGGCTTGGTTTTTGTGTTGTAGCATTATTTTATTTTTGAGAGTGTTGGATTGATTTTGCATGGATATGTTTGGATATAATTTAAAGGTTTAGGTTTAGGTTTAGTATGGAGAGGAAATGAGTAAGTACTCATTCATTTCAGTCATTGTTTTTGTATCAGTTTTTATTAAATTATAATGTTTTAATTTGTAATGTTATATTTTTATAATTCTAAATAACTCTTAAAATATTAAATGTTAGAAAAAAATATTAATCAGTAGTTTTTTTTAATAAAATACTATGTAAAGATAATTAAATATGATGGTAAGGAAACAAGATAATAGTCATGTTATTCAAAACAGAAAAATGAAGTTCTAAAAGTTAAATTAGAAAATAAAAAACTTTTAAATATTTAACCAATCAGAAAAAAAGTAATTAAAATTTAATAACCAAATTTAAAACATAATTAAGACTAAATTAAATTATTACTCAATTTTAAAATAAAGATATACTATCTTGAATATCTATATAAGTCATTGCAGAAAATGTATTTCCTTGATTTTGACCAAAATAAAAGATCCATATTATTCATTGTTACCATGAGATCTTACATTAATTTGTCCAAACAAAATCTTTCAATAATAAATTTATTTCAACTACCTATTTATAGTAGTAATTCATAGTAAAAGTAACACTGATAATCCAATGCTTAGGACTCTCCAGAATATTCTTCATGAATAACAAAACTATTCAAATCATTATTCTTGATTTTACAATAAAAATAACAAAAAAAATAATAAATCAATAAATCATATAAAGTAAAGGTTGAATATATTTTAGTGTTCTTCTATTAAATCATCATTAAATCTCAAACAATCTTTTAGAGTTAATGATTACATATGTAATTCTAATCAGGTTATTATAACACATATAGTTATATATTAACTATTATAACATAAATACATACTTTGGAATTATAACATACACATACAATATCAAATCAAATAATTTAAGAAACAAAATCAATAGTTAATTTTCACCGATATTTCTATTGTAAGAAGTGGGAATAGGTATTGTGGTGAGGACAAATTCTTAAATCTTTTTAAGTGAAACTATTTCATCATGTAATCATTTACATTTCAATTTTTTATGTTATAGAATTTTGTGTGATTTGAAAATGAAAGGGCTTCAGATGAAAGTTTATGAAAAATTTATAAATAATGTTAATGAATTTGATAGATTAAAAAATGTTTTAATATATGAAATTATAAAATAAAAAATATAAACTAAAGTTAAAATAAATTTTAAATTAAAAAATGGAAATTATATTTCAAAATAAAAATATATCAAAACAATAAAATATTATAATTTAAATTAGTGAAATTAAATAATATTTTTATTTCTTTTCAATTAATTTTTTAATAGATTCTTAGTTTAATTTATAAGAAAAAATTAATGTAAAATTTATAAAAATATACTTCCATCTACTTTCTTTGCATTCGAGCGAAGAAAATCTGAAGCATAGTTTTTTATCGTTATCTGTGTTTTTATGCATTGATATTTGCACAATCATCGCTTTTCGCTTGGTGAGTTTCCATTTGCAGAAACAAATACGTCCTAAAATATTTGCATATCAACTTGCAAATAATTTATTCTCCTCATCCGAATAAAACTCTTAACTTGAATTTGTCAAAAATCTTATATTAATTCATGATTACCAAAATATTTTACATTAATTCATGATTACCAAAATATCTTACATTAATTTGTCAAGCAAAAAAAAGGATTGCATCATTGACTTTATATCATACAATTTGATCACCTATCTTGGATATGCTTATTTAAATTATTTTCAGATTTTTTTAATAATCACTTATTATAATTTTAATATAAATACATTTTTTTAACAATAATATTTTGACACATACAAAATTTTTATATTTATTTAACACTATTCTTTATTATTTTTTTCTTTTCTTTTATAAATATAAAAATTTATTTTTTAGTAATTATTGTAAGTTTTCAATATATGTCAAATGAATAACATACTATTATTCAACAAAAAATAATGGATATTGAACAAGTACTATTTTATACAACTAAACTCTATATAAAATAAGTATAAATTACACAAGTTACCAACCATGAGTATTTAACATAATATAAAGACAGAGTAAAAAAGAACCACAAATATTATTTAAGTCATATGTTAGGATAACAGATTTTTAAGCTCTCTGTTGTGGTGATCTGCTTGAATTTATCTACTGATGGTTGAAATGAAGGTAAAGTTACCATTTGCTGCAGATTCTGTTGCTGAAAACCAATATCCTGCCATGATGCGTCATAGTTATAGGATTGCATAACTCCATTGTAATTGCAAAGAGAGGTCTCTGTATTGTATTGATTTCCATGAAAATTTGTATCATCGGTAACACCACCATTCATTGTTGTGATACTTCCTCCAACCACAAGTGCATCCTGTTGATTATTCCCCCAATGTTGATTCAAGCTTTGTATTTCACCAAGTTGGTCAAAAAGATTAAAGGACTCATCAAGAAAATCATAAGGCACATCAAATTTATTTGAAGGATTTTTAAGCACATCAGTTTGGCATGCATTGGATGTATCCACCACTCCTTTGTTCTCTTCCTTCAATTGCATGAGATTTGGATCAAAGTTAAGCTTTTGGGATTGAGAACTAGAGCCTTTTTCAGAATTGTGTTGGAAAGATGGTGCAAGGTTACCATTAAGTGGGTTCATTGGAGCAAAAGGAAGTTGGTTTTGGAGAATATCCTTCATGACAACCAGTTGGGTTGGATTTGGAGCAACACATTCTGGTTGAATCAGGCATTGCTTGAAATTGAATTGGGCTTCATCTTGTTTCTTGCATTTGAACATTACTGTTCGTTGATTACATGCTTCAAGCTTACTGTCCAATCTAGCTATGAAATTCTTCAATTCTTCAGCACCAAGGTTGTTGAAGCATGGATGCCAAGTGGGATATTTGGTCTCAAGGATCTCTTTCTGAACTTTGGCAATCTCACTGTCAACCATGTTCTTCCTCGTCTCAAAAAAGTTATTGAGATCAAAGTTCTTAGGAATTTTCTCATACACCATACGCTCATACCTTTGAATGATGGAGTGCATCTCAATGGGGTCTTGGGGCCAAGTCAATGGTGGAGAATCACCTTTGCCATCATACATAATCAAACAAGCTTTCACTCCACACACACTACAAAATTCAGACATTGTCTTCAATAATGCCTTCTTTCTCTTCATCAAAGCCAAATCACGATCTCTCCCATTTGTGATGGGTTTCAAAATCAATTTTGGACGACCCATATTCTGAAACACGCACATATACAAATTGATCAACAAAGGTTAAGATCAAAGAACAGAGATCAAACAACAACTAATTCATGAATTGGATTTTACCACAAATTATAAAGAAAAGTTCGTGAAAATTATTATTATAAATGATAAAGAAAATCATGATGGACAGTATAGAAAATCTCACCAAGAATTTTCTTGAAGAAAAAGCAAACTGCTTTCGATGATAAAAAGAGAAAAAAGTTCCTTTTGGAAACTTCCAACTATGAGAATTCACGAATGAAAAAAAGAGAGCAAAGGTAGGGATTCAATATGTAGGAAACTTTTATTCATCTTATAAAGCAGTGTTAAATCATCATTAAATCTCAAATAATTATTATAGACATAATTATATGTGTTGTATGATTCTAATCACGTATAATTATGACATAAATATGATTATATATTAGCAATTATCTTATCTTATAAATATACAATTTCAAATTATAGCACAAATATGATGCATCAAATCTAATAATTTAAGAAACAAAATCCATACTTTGTTTTTTGTACTGATATTTCTAATATTGTAAGAAATCGGAATAGATATTCTGGTGTGAGGCCTTCCTTTCAAATATAACTAAATGGAGAAAATGATTTGACTGAAAATTTTATCTGTAAATATGTTAAAGAAAATCTAAACACACTACCGAGAGATATTTAAGAGATAATCACTATAAATATTGACAAAAACAAATCATGACAAATATTAACTGAAGAAATCTAATTTACATTTATCAGAAAGATAATATCTTGACATTATTAAACAAGAAATAATAGTGATTTACAAAATAAAAATAAAAAAATTAATCTTAACAATTTAATTGCTATCAATATCAATAAAAAGAAATCCTTAATCGACATCAATAACAATATTTTAGTATTAAACATGTCGACAACTCCCAACTCAGTAGAGAATATAAAGAAAAAAATACGAGTTTAAAAATATGAATAATTTCAAGTTTTTAAGTGAAATTCAAAATTCTTTATTTTAAGTAATTAAATTATTCTAATAAAATTCTAAAATTTTAATTTCTTTTGAAATTGAACATCATATTTTCTTATAAAGCATTTCAAAATTTTCATATAAATGAATTATTCTCTTAAAATTGAATATATTTTTTCCTGTAATACATCCTTTCACATTTTTATTACCACCACTATATTTACATGTATTTTATTTTCTCAACTAAACAATTTGACAGTAGATGCAGTTTAAATACTATTTTTCTGAAAAAAATATAAATTTCTATTTGGAAAAAATATATAAACAATATTTAAAATTATAGAAATATAAAAATTTTGTTTAGAAAAAAGTTTTATTTAGAAAAAATATAGAAATAGAATTTAAAAATATAATAGATTTTGCAAAAATATAATGGATAAAACATGAGAAAAAATTCTAGTAGGTTCTCTAAAAGTATAAATGATACGTATAAATGTGTAAAGTAGATTAGCTAAAAATACACATCAATGCATGAATAAACGAGTCTAATTTCTATTGATAGACTCGTTTAATCAATGCATTGGCAAACTAAACTCGTCTAATATTTGTTAAATTCGTTTAATCAGTATATGAATATATTAGTCTAATGTATAATATGTATTGATAGACTCGTCTAATTATTATGTGAATAAACTTGTCTAATAGATATTATAAGACCAGTTTAACTAGAGAATGAATTGAATTATTTAATGTATATGAACAAACTTATTCAATATATATTATTAAGTTTGTTTAATCGATACTTATCTAATTAATTTAAGAAAAACAAATTATATTTTTCTAAATTTTTATTTAATAAATAACAAAGTTGTAACAACTCAAAAAAATAAATTAGTTTTTCCTACATATTACTTAGGTATTAAGCAAACGTGTGAATAAAAGAAATATATACAATCATATAATAAGTATATTATAGTCCTATTACAAAATTTAAGTCTTTCAAAATATAAAATATGTTTTCTTTATAAGAATTTTTTTCACGTATAAACATTTTTCAAACATTTAAACATGTGCAAATATGAGTACATATACAAATATATGAAGATAATTTTTTTTAAGAGTATAAAATAATGAAACTAATTCCGATTGTCATTTCTACCATGCACATGTAATAACAAAATAAATATAAATAAAAAAATTACTAAAATAATAACTTTTGAAATAATTTTCAACATAATAAATATAATAAAACAAAATAAATATTTTAAAAAATAATTTTTGAAACACTTGTGAACGAAATAAATATAAATAATAAAATAAAAATTTTAGTATTTTTTTTCTTGTATTATAATCAACTAAAAATTATAAAAAGATAAAATTAAGAATGAAATTATAATATAGAAATATATTTTTATTTTTAAAATAAAAGGGCAAATCAGTTTAAAAATAAAAAATAAGTAAAAGGAAAACATAATTTCTATTCCTACGACATAAAAATATATATAAATAAAGAAAATGTTTAGAAAAACAATTTTCTTTTATATTTGTCAACAAAATAAATATAAATAATAAAGTAAATGTTCTAATATTTATTTATATTATATGATAATAAAGTAAAAAAAAAAAATCAAATGGGGGAACACTACACACCTTATCTTTCAATCGGCCATTTTAATTTTTCTGCGAAGCTCGTCCTCACTGTTAGTGTTGAACCCTCCTCTCCTCCCACGCATGCATTCGGCAGAACCCTTCGGTAACTCACTCTTCCTAACACCATATCCATTTCTCAGTTATAACATTTCAATTCTCTTTTTCGTTTTCCAAAAATTTTTAATCTTTCAATGAAGAAAATTTCCAAACCCTTTGTTGTTTCCCTTGCAAAATTGTGAGTGCGAATAATCGGGTTTACATGCCTGTTTGTGCTGAACAAAGTGTTATGTAACCTTTGAATTTGAATTGTGCTAAGTTTTGAGCTTCAGTTACTCTTCTAGTTCTATTGGTGTTTGCGTATGTAAGCTAATATTTATTTCTTCATTCTCAAAATAAATTATTTTTAGAGTAAAATGGAGATCACGAGCAGTATGATGTGGTTTTTCAAAGATAAAGGGTTTGATGACAACAGTGTGCAAGGAATTTTCCGACGGTGTAGGCGCCTTGAGGATGTGCATCAGGAAAGAGCCAGTGAGAATTGGGAGTATTTGAGAAGCATTGGCATTGAAGAAAGAAAGTTGCCCTCAATTGTTTCAAAATGCCCCAAAATTCTTGCGCTGGATCTTTATGACAAGATTATGCCCACGGTTGAATGTCTCAGGACCCTGGGAACAAAACCACGTGAGGTTGCTACTGCCATAGCCAAGTTCCCTCACATACTCTCAAACAGTGTGGAAGAGAAGCTTTGTCCCCTTTTGGCCTTCTTTCAGGCTTTGGGTATTCCTGAAAAGCATATTGGCAAAATGATACTGCTCAATCCTAGGCTTATAAGTTACAGCATTGAAACAAAGTTGACTGAAATTGTGAACTTTCTTGCTAGCCTTGGTCTCAATAAAGATGGAATGATTGGAAAAGTTATAGTCAAGGACCCCTATATTATGGGTTATAGTGTTGAGAAAAGACTCCGCCCTACTTCACAGTTCCTCAAATCAATAGGTCTGAGTGAGCAGGATCTTCAAGCAGTGGCTGTGAAGTTCCCAGCAATCTTGAGTAGAGATGTGAACAAGCTTTTGGTACCCAATTATGCGTATCTAAAGAGACGAGGATTTCAAGAAAGACAGGTAGTTGCTTTGGTGGTTGGTTTTCCTCCTATATTGATCAAGAGCATTCAGAATTCATTAGAACCAAGGTTCAAATTTTTAGTGGATGTGATGGGAAGACAAGTTGATGAAGTTGTTGATTATCCTTGTTTCTTTCACCATGGCCTCAAGAGAAGAATAGAACCGCGGTACAAACTTCTAAAGGAGAAGAATTTAAATTGTAGCTTGAGTGAAATGTTGGATTGCAACAAGAAGAAGTTCTTCATGAAGTTTGGTTTGTTAGAAGGACAAGCCTTGAGTAACTAGGTCTAATCCCTATTTTATTGATTTTCATAATTAGTTAATAGTTTATTGGTATTTGTTTCTGATGTGGTGTCCTGTAACATCCACAGATTTTTGTGATTCCATATAAGCTTGTTCTTTTGTTCAAATTCATAATCTCTTCATACATTATATCTAAGATGATGGGTTATGTTTTAGATCTATGATTGAGATATGTTTGCCTGAAATGGGTACTGAGGTTCATCTGCCATCATATGCATCTGAGTCACTACATGAAACAGCTTTTGTCATAGCTGCAAGGGAGCATGGTTTTCAGTTTTCCACGAGGACACAGACAGGCATCATTGAATTTCTTCTCGTTAATTGGATTATGAAAGTGGAAAAAAAGGTTTACAGGTTGGCTAGCTCCTTTTACCACATTTTTGCTGTAGTTATTACTTATCTGCCATATTTTGTTACCAAGGTTGGCCTAGCTGCCATGTTTTACTCTTTGGTGGATAAAATTGTCTCCTCAGATGTGAGATTATATAATTTTTATTTAGTTCAGCTTCTTTGTTAACAAATTTTGATCTGGTTTCTCTATAAAACAAAATCATTATGAAATTCAAATTTATGATTTACTCTTCCTTTCACATCTTCAATCTACTCAACTCCTTTATAGCATGGAACCCATAAAAGAAGATTTCCAATTACGGCTTTGTTGTTTCTGTTGGATGATATAAGTTAGAGTAATGAGGAAATGTTCCTTGTGCAGGATAATCTATAAAGGGAAATATTTTAAAAAATTGTGTTTTAGGATGAAAAGTTGAGGTGCAGAAAATAATTTGCTTAAGGCCTTTCATGTCGTGGAAAAATATGGGCTGAAAAGGAGAATAGTAGAAGTCAGAACAATCAGTATTTTAGAAGAGAAAAGCAAATAAATGTAAAACAATATTACCAACTCTAAGAAAAATAATCTTTAAGTCTCTCAACAAGAGAAAATTCCACAAGAAATATTTTCTTCCTCCACCCCGACAAAAATTTTTATTCCCCATTTTACTGCTGCACCAGTCACACTTGCACCCATCCTCATCTTATTCTCCAATCATTTTTCTATATTAAACAACTCAGGTTTTAATAATAAATAGTAAATAAAATATTGTTGTGTATGAAATGATGTTTAAAAAAAATAGCGTTTATAGAAAAAATATTTTATAATGTTTGTTTTAGATAGAATTAAACTTATGAATAATGTTTTCTAAATTGTTTAATAAATTAAAAATCATAAAC